TGACTGTGGTTGCAAGATTAACCTTGATTTATTTTAGAAACTGGGTAGATATTAGGAACATGTGCAGGTCAGTAGACACTAAAATGATGTTTAATATTTAAAATAAACGTTTAAACATTTATTTGCATAGGCACTTAGCACATTTAAATCTAAAACTGCGGTGACACTTTTTAATAAGGTTACATTTGTTAAGTTGAAAAATACTTCGAAAGCATTTAGTTCATGTGAATTTCAACATTTACTAATACATTATTAAAATCAAAAGTTGAATCTGTTAATATTATTTAAGCTACATGAACGAACAATGAAAAGCTGTTTTTGTTAACTGATGTGATTTTTTTTTCCGTTAGCTAATTGGTCCTTACTGTGTTAAAAAAAGCGTATTTTTGCTTCATATCATATTAGATGATAGTGAAAAGGCTGTCAGTTTGTGTTTATACAACTCTGAGTTGTGTCTCCTGCAGGCTATGGAGCTCCAGATAAAGAAACAGTTCCAGGATACGTGTAAAGTCCAGACGAAACAGTACAAGGCCCTGCGGCACCATCAGCTAGAGGTGACCCCCAAAAGTGAGCACAAGACAGTCCTGAAAGCCCTGAAGGATGAGCAGACGCGCAAACTGGCCATCCTGGCCGAACAGTACGAGCAGAGCATCAACGAGATGATGGCATCACAGGCAGTGAGTGACGAAATCATTATAATGGTCAAACTGTTGACCATTTATTCTAGTATCCATGTGAAATGATTATAAGGTGTAAACAGATAGGAATGACATCCATAATTTGACACATTTAAAACAGCGGATAATGATGTAGTGATAGTTGTTTTTGCTAAAGTATATAGAGTGCAACAGTCAGGTTCTGGAAGTAAAAACTCCATTCATTTCCTGCATGGGGAAATATATTTTTTAACTACAATTTTATACGCAGACCTGTTGTGCACGCTCTGTGTTAATTGATGGTATATGGTTTTGTCGAAGCTGTCGGTCCGCATTTTCTACTTATTTTTCTACTTACTAACTGAATTTGTGGTGAAAAACTACATTACCCATGATACTATACAGAAAATTCCACCAATCATAGTCTCGCAGTGAGCAATCCAGTGTTCATATGCTCTCAAAATAATATATACACACACAATGGGTCTCATTCATGAAACACGAGCAGAACGAATTTGTGTGTAAATCGTGTGTAAAGTGGTTCTGGCGTAAATTTTCGGATTCATTAAAATGTTCGTATTTTCCAAATGTTAGTTGGTACGCAAGAAATCTACACCTGCTCCCAGCCACGCGTAAATGGTGCGCTTAACATCCGAACGTTTTGCTCATTAATAATACTGCATTTTAATTCACCAATGGGAACATATTTAAACAGCATTTTGAAAAATATATTTTATATAGTAATTACATACGGTTTTTCTTTTTTATTATGACAGCCAGTAATAGCAGATCTGGTGATCGATGGCGGTCCTTCTCCAGTTTGAATACGATTTTTCCAAAGTGAATTAATTCGTGTTTTGCTGTCAAGCTTAATGTCAAACCATTTTCTTCTCACTTCTGGGACTGTTCGATTAACAGATGAAACTCCATTAAGCTGCCAAGCTTCCTTTTTTAGGACCTGATAGGCCACTAGTACGCTTGAAAATAAAATGTGGCGTTTTAAATGAACTTCTGATAACTATACTTCAATTTCTGCACCCGAGAAATCTTTCTTTTTCATTCGCATTCATGTTATTATATGCGTATATATGGATGTCAGTCGGACATAATGGGCGGGATTTATGGTAATTGAGAATGAACGTGCACGCGCATCCCATTTACGACTGGTTTGAATTCATTAACACACACACATTTCACTATCACATGTGACGTTTACGAAGTATTTGTGAATCAGGAGAAAAGTTTTCGGGAAGGTCTCTTTACGCACAAATCACTCTCATATTTACGAATGTTTCATGAATGAGACCCAATGTATCATTAGTATATATATATATAAAATATTTATGTATTTTTATTCAATACTTTTTTTGCTTCAAATCAAAGTTTGTAAGGTTGTGATTCACCCGTTTGGTTTGGTTCATGGAAAAATGAATGGGAAAAATACTTCTAGAACCAACGCTGCTGAAATGGGCAGATACTAATGCACTCTATTAATGTATAGATTAAATCTGATTTTGTGTTGTCTTCAAGATGTGTTATTTATAAGCCATTTTGGAAAAGCAAATAGTAAGTAATTGTTTTGTCGATAGATTATGCAGTTTTTAAATGAAATATAAAACAAGGCCTCCCTTCTGTTGGAAATTCCAGTCTCGGCCCATTGCCCGTACAAGAAAGCCATTGATGGTTAACCAAAACTGTGCTGTAGTGTCAGCAAAGCATCTGAGGCTCACATATGCACGTGTGTGTGTTTTTGTGTAGCTTCGTCTGGATGAGGCTCAGGAGGCCGAGTGCCAGGCACTGAGGCAGCAGCTGCAGCAGGAGATGGAGTTACTCAATGCGTACCAGAGCAAGATCAAGATTCAGACCGAGGCCCAGCACGAGCGCGAGCTGCAGAAACTGGAGCAGAAAGTGTCCCTGCGCCGAGCGCACCTTGAACAGAAGGTCCAGCACTCTTATTATCCTCTTATTTACACACACTCTAATTCAGAGTATTTTATCATCAATAGTGGTGGTCTGCCAATATAGGATTTTCTAGAGAGCAGGGCATTTATTCAGCAGTTTATATATATATATATATATATATATATAAAACATTTATCATTATTGAGATTTAAAGCGCTTTGAGTGCAGAGAAAAGCTATATATAAATGGAACTTATTATTATTAACACTTTTTATTTATTTGTGTTAAAATTGTGCTAACCTTTTGTTATATCTTCATTGCATTGTATACTTAATGCAGTAAATAGGCATATACAGATACAATGCTAAAGTTTGGGATCAATAAGATTTTATTTTGAAATAAATTAATACTTCTAATACATTTATTTAGCAAGAATACATTAAATAAATCACAATATATATTTGCAGTTCAAAATAGTTGTGCTCTATATATATATATATATATAACATTGATAATAATAAGAATTTTTGTAGCGTCAAATCAGCATATTACAATGATTTATGAAGGATATACACTGAAGACTGGAGTAATGATTCTGAAAATTCAGACAAAATATTAATAATAGAAAATAAATTGCCCTTTAAAAGATATTACAATAGACCATTTCACAAGATGTAAACAACACTGGTCCAGAAGCACTTCCTGTTTCAGTTTTTTAACACTACATAAAAGCTGGGATAAAATACAACCAAAAGAACATTTAAAACTGAATCAAAAAGTTAAACAAACATCTTTAAGATGTTTTCTTTACATGTGAAATAAAGAAAACGGTTACAAACTGAAACAGGAAGTGCTTCTGGACCAGTGTTGTTTACATCTTGTGAAATGGTCTAGTAGTATAGCATATACACAATTACTTAATCCAAAATAAAAGTTTGTGTTTACATAATATATGTGGGTGCACTGTGTATAATTATTTTATTTATAAATAAATACACACACATGCATGTATATTTAAGAAATATTTATTTATCTATTATTTAGATTTATTTATAATTTATATTATATATAAATATAAATATTTTATATATAAATAATATTTTTTTATTAAATATACATGCATGTATGTGTATATATATATATATATATACAAAATAGTTATACACAGTGCACCCACATTATGTAAACACAAACTTTTATTTTGGAAGCGATTAATCGTTTGACAGCCCTAATATATATATATATATATATATATATATATATATATATACATATTGTGTGTGTGTGTTTGTATTTAATATTTCTTTTACCACATATTTAACTTACATTTGATTCTTTAATCTCAAAATTTGAGATTTCATAAAAAAAGGTATGATTACCTACAGCCTTGTGCATTCATGCTGCACAAAAACACTCGTACTGTGATATTGCTTCTATACAACAATTGTATTAACAAGAAGTTTTATTAAGTGCTTGTCCAGTAAAATTAGAGGACTGGATCCATCCCTGAAAAATGAAAATACTGTAAGTGGCACCGGTTCGTCAAAGGTCAATGGGACAACATGAGTCCAAAGCCAAAACAAGAGGGATAGGACTTGCAAAAGCTACTTTGCTCCATCATTGAAGTTAAACATTACGAATCGAACTACCTTTGTTTTTGCTAATGTGTGTAATGAGTTAATAGCAAATTAAAGGGAAGAAAGAAACCAAAAGCCTTCATTTGAGGAATGATGCAGTCTGTCGTGTAAAGATAGATCTGTCCCAGTAACCAAAGTCCTGCAGGTTCGTCTACACCTCTGTTGGTTTGACATCCTCTTGTTTGAGCTTCTGTCTTGTGTTCATACTCATAGATTGAGGAGGAGCTGGCTTCTCTTCAGAAAGAGCGCACTGACCGAATCAAACACCTGCTGGACCGCCAGGAGAGAGAAATCGACGCCTTTGACATGGAGAGCCTTCGTATGGGTTTCAATAACTTGGGTGCTTTGGACTACCCGAAAGATGACTACAGATGAGACCATAACACTCCACCGTTCTCGCTCTTTTCTGGTCACACATCTTTTTTCTTTTCTTTTTTTTTTTGAGTTTTTGCTACTGACAGTCCGATCAATCCTCTGGGCTGGTGCCTGCACAGGCCTCACACACGTGGGCCGCCCTCTGCAAGACAACATGCTGGATAACGCCCTTTAGTTGTCTCTTTTTATATATAAATATTATATACGAGACGATTAAATGTGTCACAGTGTCGATGTCAATGTTTTCTCGTGCAATGATAACACTTTCGGTGTAGCTCAAATTAAAAATAGAGATTTCAAGACAAAAGCAATACGAACTAGGGGTTTGCATTGCTAATTTTAATGCACAGTTTTTGTTCTTTTTGCAGATGTTTTAATGGGCAAAGTGTCATTTAAGATTTTTTTTTTAAAAACTGTATATTTTGTTTGGTTTTTTTTTTGCAGCCTACTGCCTCTCGCTGCTTGAATCCCTATTTGGTATTTATTCATCCAGAAAAAAATTGGAAAATACCTTTTATTAGTATTGAAGAAATTTGATAAAGTTTGCATATTAAAACAATGTACATATTTGATAGGTGCATCTGTGACTCTTATATGGTATCCAGCCATTTTTTTTTCCATTTTTTTGGGAGAACAGCGCATATGTACAATACCATAAAACACCTAATCTGAGGTGCACAATGTGAATAATGCATATGTGAATCCTAAACTCGTGGTACCTGCACAAAGGGCTGAAGGGGAAGGGACATGTATTTTGTGTATAGAAGGATTTATGGAGAACTTTTACTTATTTTCCTATTACATTTTAACTGAATTTCAATTTCTTTTTATAAATATACATACACATCTATATATAATAAATGTTTCACCACCCTCTCCCTCCTGCAGTTACTGGTGAAATTGGCCTCTAATTTCATGATTCTGTTTGGTTCTCTGCATCTTCTCCAACTGTGTATTTTCTACAAAGTCAAATTAGTGAATAAAAACGCTTTACTGTCGCATGCACTTTACATTTGTTTTCAGATTAAGAGGCATGATTCTGTCAGAGCTTTTAATTATATTTGTAAATAAAGTGCTCATCACACAAGCAACATCTTTCCATAGTCTGATTTCATTATCCGGGATTTATTTTTTCCCAATGTGTTCATTTCCAGTATATAGTGGTGAGAAATTCATCAAATAAACATAAATTTAACTAATTCATATTCAAAGGCCGGCGCAAAGTCTGTCTTTTTAACCTGAAGGTACTGTAGTTCAAGCGAAGAGACACAAAATTTGCTTCATTTCAATTCAACTAGAACAAAAGATGACTTGAATTTCACAATTTCTGCACAGCTTTTGAAGCAAAACAAGTTCTGACCAGAATAAACAATAAACTTATTCTAAATGGTCTTTATTTGCCAGCCAGCTGTTCGTAAAGTTTGGGCACGTAGTCGTCCCACTCTGCCTGGAAGCAAGACCCTGCGAGCGGAGCACCGAGGCCGTATTTCTTGCGGAAACTCTGGATCTTGAATTTTCCACGGTTGTCTCCCGAGCGATTGGTTAGGACGGGTTCGGTGCAGCTGATGCTATCTGACTGCTCGTAAACCAGCCACAGGTAACGATGGAGACCTGAGGAAATCATACGCAACTGTTACTCACTATTGATACAACAACTTGTGTTATTCTGCTGATTGGATACAATATATTCAGCAACATATAAAGGGATACTCCACTTTTTTTTTTTTGGAAATAGGCCGATTTTCTGATATTTAAAAGAATATCAGTAACCAGACAGTTTCTGGTCTCATTGACTTCCATAGTATTTTTTTATTCCTACTATGGAAGTCAATGAGACCAGAAACTGTCTGGTTACTGATATTCTTCTAAATATCAGAAAATAGGCTGAATGGATTCGAAAACGGTAAAACTCAAACGTTTAAACCTGAGGGAGTTGTAAAATGGGAGCCTATTTCCCAAAAAAGTGGAGTATCCCTTTAAGACGGTCAATATGTGCCTAAATTTAATCTGTTTATCATAAAATGCGATCGTGTCACAAAGCCGCTAATTTCATATAGATTATTTTTACTATCTCTTTATGAACTTTAAGTGTCAAAGTGGTAGTTGCTTAGCGGTCAGTTTTTATATAGTTTTTTATATATTTTTTAAACATGATTCAATATAACATAAAAATTACATGAAAATAGTTTTTTACATTGATAAAAATACAGACTTGCGAGCTTCAACAGAACTGAAGGTGTCAAATAAACAAAACATTAATAATAATAACTGGCTTGCACTGCGGTGAGCAGTGCTGCATGAAGTCAAACACACCTAATCTGAGCTCTCACCTGTTCCCTTCGGGGGTCCTGCACCAACGTAGTCCGACATGACACATCCACTGGAGATGTCATTTCCTTTCATGTTGACAACAAGGAAGTGGTGCCATTCCCTGAGATTAAACACAACAATTATAGCAGATTTCAATATCCCGACTCTAACCTGTAATCTTTGGTTTAGTGCTGATACAATGAATATGACTGATTGATCTGACAACATACCGAAATTTGGGGTCTTTTCGGCTGGGTGCATCTGGATCGGTCATGGCCAATGTGTACAGCTTACCGGGGTCACATCCCTCCCACTCAACGGATGTGGGCCGATTCTGCACCTGCACAATGAAAGTATGTAACAATATTTGAGATGACAAACACATAATTATTATGCATTCATAGTGCACATTACTTCTATAAATTATAAAGCATAATGTACAATTCTACAGCTAACGATTGTTTTACGCAAACTTGACAGTATGTATCATATTTTGTATCTTTATACATTTTGTATGAATATGCATACGTTACTTTTTTATAAATATGCATATGTTACTCATTATTAAAATGCATTTGATTTTTTTTTTTTTTTGCACTTAAATATTTATGTGGCATTTCAATCAACATGGGATAAAAATGTTTTTTTTTTACATTCATTTATGTCCCACTCCAAGATGCTACTGTCTGCTTAACATGACAAAAAAAAAAAAAAACATTAATACAATATTATTCCATTTTATTATATTAATTATAATGCAACACAATTCGAAATAAGTTTTATTGTCAGACAGCTGACAACTGATTTAGGCAACAGCATTTCTTCTTCTATGTACTATAGCCATGTAGAAACCTGTTTTTTTTTTCCAGCAGGATGTAGTATTTCTTAAATTGTACATTTAAAACATATTAGCTTGTGCTTTTATTTCATTTTTTAAAATTCAGAACACCTGCCTAATTTATGTCTTGTTATGCAGGTCTCTTCTAATTCAAGCTGCAGGCTTTAGCCCATTCATTTGCAGCTCATATTTTGCACGAGGTACGCAGAGAAAGAGAGACCACATTAGGATCACGTGATCGTGGAATTTCTAGACAGATGCATGCAACTTTGGCAGCGTGCGTGCGTGCGCATTACATAACTACAGACAAACTGTGTTTAATTCAACCCTCAATAGTCCATGCAAATGTACAAAAATAAATAAATGCAAAACTGCATTCAAATGACCCTCCTCCTCTTACATGATGCAGAAGCACAACTAGCCACAAGCACTGGCCTAATTCCTGCATTGTACTCTAACCTGAGTGGGTGTGAACACTTTACCCAGCGCGTCAATTTCCAAAGAGCCATATTTGACCGTTAAAGGCTTGGTTGGCTGTTTCTCCACCTCTGTAAGAGCTAGAGAACCAGTCCATTGAGTAATATCCACAGGCATGGTGACTAACGGATCTTGCGAGATATCAACACAGCCGAAATGTAGAGCTTCTGTCTCCCCCTACAGTTGTTTTATTGCGATTGTTCATGAAACTGTTCAGTGACTGGCATAGCCAATCAACTTGCCGCAGCTGACCATGATCTTAATTTGGATTGGTCAGATGGTCTGCCAATATTCTTCGACCCGCCTCCTGTTCTGATAGTAATGGAAGTTCGACTCATTTCCGCGAATCGGTTCTTTTGAGCATTTTTAGCGAAATTGTTTATTTTCTAAAAGAACACAACACTTAACTATATAACAACCAAGGAAAAGTGGAAACCGCGAACGTACAATAGAAGACAAATTATTGTATTAATCATTTAAATACATTTTGGTGGCTTTTTTATTCAGAGTGGTTATACTGTCTGTAGCCATGGTTCATGTCATACAAGTTATTTACAGCCTAAGTATGATTGCATTTTGAATATTGAATGTATAAGTAAATGTTCATTTGCATATCTTAATCTGTTCATTGATCTAATTATCATTACTATTATTATTATTCATGTTTTTTAACAACTTTGTTTTATGCGAATCAAACTGGTTCATTCAAATCATTGAAAAGATCCAACTCAAATGACTCAAAAGTTTGTTCACAAATCAGACGTCACTGTTGTACAATAGCTGACAGCGGCGAAGTTCAAAAGCTTCTCTAAAGAGCTTTTCGTTCTGTAAACTCTTGATTGTAGATTAAAATTATACTAGAGTCATACTAGACACAATTTCATAACATAAAATCGCATGAAATTAGACAACAACGTCAAAACATTCATCCAGGCATAATTTAAGCCACCTATACCGGCTGACAGGGGTCTTGCCTCCTCAACAGTTATGGCTGCCTTCAGTAGAGGCAGACACAGGATCAAAGCTTTCAGGACATTAATATTTACAAGACCCTTTACAGGTAATGCTTATTGAATAGTTAGATTAATTGTCGCAAAGATTTTTCACTCAATTATTTTGTTCAAGTTGTCAATATCCGTAATCTCGTAATTTACCTGGTTATATATAATGCAGGCAAGTCATATAATAAGATACCCATAATTTAGCAATAATGCCCAGTGCATGTGCGAAACAAATTAATAGTTGAAGCTAAGGCGTTTTATTAAGAGCAAATATCATGCATTGTTAAAGTCTCTGTGGTTGAATGACTTGTAATCTTGATTCCAGCCAGGAAATTTGATTATGATCTGGTGGTTATTGGTGGAGGCTCTGGAGGGTTGGCATGTTCAAAAGAAGGTATTTGTCATCTCTACTTTAAAGTTTGGATTCTCTACTTCATTTATAGTTATTAAGAAAGACAATTAAGTTAATGTATCTAATTAAGATGACATTTTCTTTGATGCTTCACACTGTTTTGTTGCTTGCAGCTGCCCAATTAGGACACAGAGTTGCTGTTTTGGACTATGTTGAACCTTCACTCAAAGGTACATGCAGACAAAATAATTTATAGTTGTCATCTATTTGCTGGTAATGTATTTATTTCCAAAATAACTGATCCGCTCATGCTGCCTTTAGGCACAAAGTGGGGTCTTGGTGGGACGTGTGTGAATGTCGGCTGTATACCAAAGAAGCTTATGCACCAGGCGGCACTGCTTGGCACTGCTGTCAAAGATGCGAGGAAGTATGGCTGGCAAATCCCAGAATCCCTGTCACATGACTGGTGAGTTTCATGGATCTATATCGGAGACATTGCTTGTAGCCAGTGTTGCAATAAGTGTGGCTAATACTGATCAGAGCATGTTATGAAATTCTAATAATCTTTAGGGTGAGGTTTTGTTTCAGGTCAGTGACATAAATACTACTTTCATAAACATTTTATGTGGCACAGACAGCACCATCCTGTGGTGAAAAACCAGATATCTAACGGGTCAAATCCAATCATTTCACTAGAGGGCACTCCAGGTCTGATAAAAAGGTTATGGTTTTTACAGCTTTTGTCCAAATGCTGGCCTTCAAATACAACTTTTAATACAGCTACAATAGCAATGTTGTATTTGTTTTTTGTGTGTTTGTTTGTTATTATCTTTGGAGATGGATAATGTAGTACTTTCTGCATTGTTGACTACACAAATTATTAATTATCTTCTCATCTATGGGGGTTTGACCTTCTGTTTGCCCTCAAACTTGTAAAGATTAATTTTGAAGTCAGAGAAAACCCAGTATTATATATTATGGAGCATTTTAGACAGGAACGTGTGTTAAAATGTCTTTTATTTAGGTATTAATGTGTATGCTACTGTTGTATATTTTGTGTATACAGGTGAAACTTCGTGCTGAAGTTAATTTATTTCAGCTTAAATTCAACTTAAAAGGTGTAACTAATATATAGCATATAGACTCATTACATGAGTTATTTCAAGCCTTTATTGGTTATAATTTTGATGATTATGGCTTACAGCTTATGAAAACCTTTTCACAATATTCTAATTTTGAATTTGGGGGTTTCATAAGCTGTAAGCCATAATCATCAAAATGATAACAAATAAAGGCTTGAAATATCTCACTTTGGATGTAATGAGTGTATAATATATTACTTTATTTACTATATTAGCTTTTTTCATTCTATGAAAGTCAACTTGATTGATTCAACAAATGATTTAGGGTTAACTATCCCTTTAACTAACGATGAGCAATACATTTGCTACAGTGTTAATTCATCTTTGTTTACATTAGTTAAGAAAAATACAGCTGTTCATTGTTACTTCATGTTAGCTCAGATCCATTAAGTAATATTAACAGATACAACTTTTGGTTTTTAATAAAGAACATGCTGGAATTAACATTTAATTAATATTTGCTTTGAAGTATTTTTCATTGTTAGTTTGTTAACTAATATGAACAAATGGAACTTATATTGTAAATTGTAACCAATTTATCTCCTCTTTATAGCTTATTTAAATCATGCTTGCTCAAACCGATTTCAGTGCAGAAGTTGATAATGAAATATTAGATCTCAAATGTTGTGACCAGATATGAGAAGTTTTTGTGTAATCTGTTGCAGGCCAACAATGGCTGAGGCAGTCCAGAACCATGTGAGGTCTATAAACTGGGGCCACAGAGTGCAACTACAAGACAAGTAAGTTTTACAATTAAAACAACATGACCAAAATGTTCTTTTTCCAATATGGTTTGTATGTTTTGCATGAAGCTCATTTGTCAATCAAAAACAACTTAAACGCAATTTAACTGTTTATTTTGTTTAGTTAATGATGGCTATTTCTGTGCACATCCCATCAAGCTTTATAACATCATCCTTATATTAAGCTTTAATTGTTAATTGATTAATGGTTAAAAGATTGCGATCTCGATTCAAACACACTATTAAACCTTTGACAAGTACGACAATCACCGCGAACATTCAAATCTGCATTTGCGCTGCTGCTGACCTAGAGAGAACACACAGTTGTTTTGTATCAGTGTGAAACAGATACACACACAGTCTTTTACCTCACAGTATTATTATTTCTGTTGCAATAATTCAAATGATCACCGAAATACTGGGATAAAAGTTTATAGTTCATAAACGCTGATGTCTAAAGTAGCGATCAAAATAGAGTAAATCCACTTTTGAAAATTAGTTACTTGACTCTTCAAAAAAAGATTGTGTCAATAACATTGTTAACCAGACAGTTAAAAATATGTATTTGTCATTAAAGAGATTTGTTCAAAAATGCTGAATCATCCAGTAATTAAGTCATTATGAGCGAGTCATTGAATCATTTTTTCAAACCGTTTAAATATATATATATATATATATATATATATGAAGAGTTCAGATGCAAAAGCCTCTAAATGCCATTTGAAATTTTCTTCTTTAATGATGCTTTTTATCAAACTTGTATATTTCAGTTCAGTAATTTCACTTAAATGACAATTAATAGGTATTATCATTGCAATTTAAGTGAAATCACTGAACTTAAATATACAAGCTTGATAAAAATGATCATTCTAGAAGAAAATTTCAAATGGCACTTAGAGGCTTTTGCATCTGAACTCTTCATATATATATATATATATATATATATATTTGCAGCTCTAGCCTGTAGTGAGTGTCCACCACTTCCCTGAGGGCAAAAACAGTGTGTTTGCTAATTACTTAAAAAGATTGCGAATGATTTTGGATGAAATATACAGACATTATAGTGCAGAATCTATATTTCCGTGTAGATCTCATTAGCTGTCTATCTCTTTCACCATCTAATCAGGTAATTACAGTCTGAGGCTAAATGAATGTGCCATTTTGATAAATTGTCCTAAATTTCAGCCGTCTTATTGTATGGCTGTGAGGCAAACAGGTGTGGTGATGTCATTTCCCAGAATGCTCCAAATATATGTCTTGATGTTAGAGCAGAGGTGTCAGTTTGGGTTTGAACATCGATATTATAAATGATCTAATCTTGTTTTGTTGTTGAGATTTCTTACATCTCTATGACTTTGTAGAAATAAATTCACTTTTGCAAAGTTGATGGGGAAATGTGATGTCAGTAGGCAACTTTCTCACTTCGAATTTCTATCTCTCTGTCCGATGTAACAGGAAGGTGAAATATTTGAATATGAATGGCAGTCTGGTGGATAAACACACTATCAGAGCTGTAAATGCCAAAGGGAAAGAGGTATGATTTTGAATTTACAGCAACTTGATTCTCTAAAATGTTATTTCACCACAATCTCTTGGGCCATATTCCTGATTATCCTGCATCGTTGTATTCACAGATTACATTGACCACCAAAAACATTGTGATAGCTACTGGTGGACGGCCGAAGTACCCTACACATGTAAGTGTGTGTGCCAGTGCAGGCGGGCATGTGTGGGTGTTGTCTTTCCAGTATGTGACCTTGTTCTGCTGATAGGAGTGTGGGAGAGAGAATTTCCTTTCTGGCTTTCCAAATATGATACAATTGATATTACACTTGAATTGATAATCACACTTGAAAGCCTGCTATTTATCTTTGCTTCAGTTGAGATACTGGTAAAGGGTTAGAGCTGTCAAACGGTTAATCGTGCTTAATCGCATCCAAAATAAACGTTTTTGTTTACATAATATATGTGGGTGCACGGTGTATAATTATTTGTATATATATATATATATATATATATATATATATATATATAAATACACACACACACATGCTTGTATATATTTAAGAAATATTTTAATGTATACTGTATATAGATTTATATATAAATATTTTATATATAAATAATATTTTTTTCTTAAATATACATGCATGTGTGTGTATTTATATATATATGTATATATATATATATATATATATACTGTATATACATACAAAATAATTATACACAGTGCACCCACATATATTATGTAAACACAAACTTTTATTTTGGATGTGATTAATCGTTTGACAGCCCTATAAAGGATACAAATGTGATAGAAATCACCCCTTAAAAATGACGCGTATAAAGAAAGTGATGCCTCTTCTTGGGACAATTAATATTTTGCATTGTGACAGTATTTTATAATTATATAAATATTGAAAAATTGAAAATAATATATTTAGAATTGTATATTATTACCTTTTTTACAGTCTATGATTATTGCTATTACATTACAAAAACACTTGATATAATTCATAATTTTATATTGATTTTAATGTTTTTTTTACAGCTTTAAAATATTCAACTAAATTAAAAAAAATATTCAATTAAATGCTGCATATTTAATCTTTAAAGTGTCTCGGTTTATCCTCCAGGTTCCCGGTGCAATGGAGTTCGGGATCACAAGCGATGATGTCTTCTGGCTCAGAGAGTCACCTAAAAAAACGTAAGTGACTTTTATGTTGTGAAGAGATTGTGACCAGATTTAACCAGCACTTTAATGTGTGTTTCAACATTATCTTTTGTCATAAGTGGTTTAGAAATCTGCTTTACCTGTTGCTTTGCTCAAGTGTGCTTGTTATTTTTAGCCAGCTGCATTTGTTAGTCTACAAGTACATTCCATTCATATTATATTTATTTCCTAGAATGCACTTAACCAAATAAGAACTTCATTTAAAAATGAACTTCTGCTTAAACTAGGATAATATTTTTGGTTTCTACTGCAGAAGTCCTGCTAGTTATTGTCTTGGCCACATCTTCTCAGTCAGGTGATGTTGTTTTGCCGTTGATCTGTCAGCTGTACAGGTGCGTTTTCAGGCTGTTGCCGGTAAGAGTGTTCATCCTGTGGAAGTGGCAAGACCTTGGTGACTGATGGGCATGAGCGAGGCCGTTGGCACGCGATGCTGACTTGTGCAGTCGTTTCCACCACAACAGCAGAGCGTCTGTCAGGACTGATGACACACTGTGTGCTTTGGATTCTGAAGACTACCAAATGATGCATTCAGTGTGATATCAACCCTCGGGCTCATTATATAAAAGTCAATGTTGAAAATAACTTGTTTTGAGGAAACCAGGTAACTGTTTTGCCTGTGGTTCAGGTGTCCAAGGGGCCTCGGGACCTACAGATGCTCGTGCAGTAAATAGTGCTCTGTCCCGTCCTTATCTCTCTCTGCTCTGCTGAAATGAAAGGAGGCTCAGTCTGGGCAGACATTAGGAAAGGCACAGCATGAACTTGTTGATCTTATCATGGTCGGGGACGGGTTATTATAGAAGTGCTGCCCAAGGTTGACTGAGTCTACAGGAGCCACAGTTCCCACACACTTCCCAGGATAAACTCTCTTTCCTGCTGTTGTTTCTGCATGAATGTAGAAGCTAGTGGGACTTCAGCTGAAGAGAATGTTATGATAGGCCAAACAGTAAATGCCTACGCTTTTTTAAGGATATGACGAATTTTTGGGGGGCCTTTTGTTACATTTTATGCTACAAATTTAAACAGCCCTATGGTTATTATTAAAGGTTACAAGGTTTTGTTTTGGAGGTTTACTACAATAGTAGGCATTCAAAGTCAAAAAACACTGACAGTGCGAGTTGGAAACAAAACGACCATTAGCATATCTACTGTAAATTTCAGCTCTGGAGGCTGTTTTTTGGTATGTTTTAGCTTACCTCAAGGGCACCCAAGATGTAGGTGTCTTTGTTTGCCCAGTATTTTCAATTTTGAAATTTTTGGGTCAAACCGTACTTGTCTGTAAGTCATATAATGGAGGTCTATGGTCACCACCTCAAAGAGCATGCACAGAGAAGTCCAAATTAAACATGATTTAATGACTCGTAAATGTAAGTACACATTGATGGCCTAAGACACGAAACGAGCGGTGTGTGTGAGAAAACGAACAATATATATACTGTAGTTTTTACCTCTTACAATCACAGTCACGTCCAAGTAGTCTGAGGGCGCATCTGTCTGCGGAAAAGCCTTGGAAGTGATCTCTCGCGCGTGTACGTCACTCATTGTGTACTCAGAGATTTCAGAATTGTTGCCCTTCACTGTGAAGATCTAAACATATTTAGATATACAGGAAATTGCAATGGAAGACGATTTCGATATATCAACAGACAAAGTCGATTTTTTTTATTTTTTTTTATTGGCAACCGCACGAAAGATCACTTCCGATCGCTTTCAGACCGAAGTGCCTTCAGATCACTTGGACGTGGCTGTGGTTACAAGAGGTAAAAACAATATAAATACTGTTAGTTTTCTCGCACAAACTGCTCGTTTCGTGTCTTAGGCCATCAATGTGTACTTACATTTACGATTCATTAAATCATGTTTAATTTGAACTTCTCAGTGCATGCTCTTTGAGGTGGTGACCATAGACCTCCATTATATCACTGACAGACAAAAACGGTTTGACCTAAAAATATCAAAATTGAAACTTCTGTGGAAACAAAGACACCTACATCTTGGATGCCCTTGAGGTAAGCTAAAACATATTAGCTTAAACTCAAACTCGCCTCAGCTACAGTGTTTGAAGGCGAGTCTAAGTAGACATTGTTCCCAGGTAGGCACCCAATGAAAACATAGTTTATTATGGGATTATGCAAATTTGTTACAAACTTGCATAGGATTGTGCAGGAAGTAAGACAGGACTTACTGATGACAGTTCAAAATCGGTTCTTTCTTTTGGAAGACAATAACTCTAACTATTCACAACGACTATATTACACACTACATGAAAAGTAATATCTGAAAAAGCATAATAGGGACACTTTAATAGGGAGTGAAAGGAAATTTATATGAGAGAAAGAGGTAATGTAATTGGAAAACACGACAATGGACTCAAACTGCGGTTGGAATCAGCAAAGGCTTGTTGATATGACATTGATATCTGGGTCACAATATGATTATGATTGCGATTATTTTTGTTTAATGTGTTGTTATACAAAATTGTAATTTAATTGTATACTTTCATGCACTTGTTTTTCATTCATCTGCATTGGACTTACTGTAGCATAATGATGTTACGCTCAGTGACAGTCTAAGCTTGGATTTGTGCAAGTAGAATGAATATAGCATGTTTTTGCAAAGAAAAACTTGTTTCATCTGTACTGTTGGCACGCAAATGACAAATGATTCCCTAATCAACAGATTAGAAAAAAATGCAAATTAATGCAATACGTTGTATCCTGTTTTTGTCATTCTATATAAAAAGGAATGTCTCGTATACTAATCCAGACAGAAGGTTTCTAGTCCATGTCATTCCTTATCATCAGAGGTGTTCCACCATGGCAGGTTAGAGCTTAGGGATGTGTTTTGTTGTGGGTAAAAATGGCAGAAAGGAGGTCTGAAATTTTGCTCTTAATCCCTCTATAAGCTGCCACACAAAAGAGCACTAAGTGCAGATGTGCATTAGCAGTGTTGTACACTGAATGTGTGTGATGTTGCAGTGGTGTAAGTGGGGATCACTCAGCAGTGCTGTTTGGGGACATCCACGTGGATTAGACCTTGTGTTAACAATTAGACTTCACCATGACCGTGAATCTCAGGGCGGTGTACTCGTCGACCACACACAGTCTTTTCTCTTTGTTCTTAGCTCATCTTTATTGTGTTTTCCTGTCTTTGTTTTGGTGTAAGTAAAGTGGTGTGCATTTTATTCTCTTTAGGTTGTTTAGTATCATTTTACAGAATGTTTCGCATATCCTGTGACAATTGTACTGACTCTTTCGCATTCGTTTCATGTTTGTCGTTACGTGACCTCATTGTTCATGTTGTGAATCTCATTAATTGCTGTTTTCTGTGTGTTCCAGGTTGGTTGTTGGTGCCAGTTGTATCCTTCAAAGCTGACGCTTGCTTTACAGGGCAAGTGTGTACATATCGAGATGATTCTATTGGAAGCATTTACATGTTCGACCAAACGCTGATAAGTCAGATCATTTAGTCTGTTTTTCTTTGCCAGAATGCCTGTAAATATTATTTGCAGAGGAAAGATGGTTCAGGGGGGCAAAAATCGATGTTGGTTTTTCGGTTATTTATTTTATGGTTTACATGTTATGATATTAAGCATAATTAGTGTATGCTTGTACAGGTACATGCAAATTCACTCATAACACTCATAACTTTTATACCACATAACATAGATTTACTCCTTTAACCTCCTGGTGTCTGGAATGCAATTTCAATTTGCATTTTATTTCCTTAAAGGAGTAGTTCACTTTTAAAAAAAACTTTTGCCGATTATTTACTCACCCCCATGTCATCCAAGATGTCCATGTCATTCTTTCTTCAGTCGAAAAGAAAATAAGGTTTTTGATGAAAACATTCCAGGATTTTTCTCCATATAATGGACTTCAATGGGAACCAAACGGTTCAAGGTCTAAAAGACAGTTTCAGTGCTAACTGCAAACTGTTCAAAGGGCTTTAAACGATTCCTGACGATGAATAAGGATCTTATCTAGCGGAACGATCACCCCATTGACTTTCATAAGAACATCGTAACAATTATTATTTTTTTAATACTAGACTTATTTTCGGATTATCAGTTATCAAAGCTTGGTAAACACAGCAGGGGTCATGATGATCTTTATCTTCGATTTCACCTAACTGATTGCTCACTAAAAACCCTCAAACCGTTGTGTTTTCAAGTCATTTGAGGTTTTATTTTGACGTGACATAAAGCAGGGATATCTATGTTGGTGAGTTGTTTACATACTTTTTAATTAGTCTTCCCATTAACACCATTTCACGATGTAGGCATTGCCTCTTCTTATGTGACTTTTCCCAATTCATTCTCTATTACCCCCCCCACCAAACCCACGGCATGCTTTAAGGCAGGGATGGGCAAATTCAGTCATGGAGGGCCATTGTCCGACAGAATTGAGCTCCATCCCAAATCAAACACACCTGCCTCAATATTCAAGCAATCCTGAAGACATTTTTCATGTGTGTTTAATTAGAAATGGAGGCCTCATGTCATAACTTTAACTGCTGGTGTCACTGTTGTGAGTGTTGCTTTTTCATTTTCCATAATATTTGTGCAATTTTCCTTCACTGTGTGTGTGAAGATGTAGCACTGGAATGTGCTGGCTTCCTTACAGGCATTGGGCTGGACACCACTGTGATGGTGCGTAGTATCGCCCTCCGGGGGTTTGACCAGGTACTAAATCTCTGTTTTGGTGCATCCCTCTTTGATGTATTTAGAAAAGAAATCCTCTTTTTTTTTATTAAAGTCTTTTAATTAGTAATTTTTTAATTAGTATCTATAACTTTGCTTTTGGTTTGGCCATTCTTTAATGTGAGTCACCCTGGCAGAACCGCCAGGCTAAAGGAGGATGAGAGACCTGGCTAGACTTGTTTTATGACTGTTTTTTAAGCATTCATCTTTAATTAACGGTTATAGTGTTCTGACAGGAGATTTGTCATGTTATTATTAAGCATTACACCCGCAGTATGGTCTGACAGGAGTAGCAAAATGACAACTTAAAACATTGAAATTAAATCTGTTTAAGAAAACAAATGATGAGGAAAAGCTTTTAAATGTATTTGTTTAGTTACTTTTTGTTAGATTGTACAGATTCCAACTATGTAGATAATTTCAGTTAAAATACACTTGTAAAAATACATATGTAATAATATGCAGAGGTAAAATTAATCGTTTTTGGAGAATTTGTTTGTCCATTTTTGTAGGGGTTGTATTTTTGTCCATATGATGAGGCATAAGGTATTAACCTTTATTTGCTAAAAAGTAGAGCCCGACCGATAAAGGATTTTGAAGGCCGATACCGATACAAGTATTAGTTGGTTTTAAAATCCGATATTCCGATATATCGGTCAATTTTTATTTATTTATTTATTTTTCAGAAACGCGCAAAAAAACATTAACAGATTTCCCTAACACTATTTATTTGTGGTTATGTATGAGTTTTAACTAAAATAATATGATAATGCATTTAAAAAGAAACTTGTTTCTTTTATTGTCACAACAGAACAGAGGAACCAAAAATGTTGTATCCATGACAATGGATAACGTCATACTGCAAATTGTAAAGCATACATTTTCAATATACATCTCATTGCTATAACTGTCACGTGCTATTAAATAAATACTTCAGTCACATTGACAGACAACTATACAACTCCAACACTCATGACATGGTTTAAGCCTGTTTAGTCCGTTTTTATTTTATTTTTGAAATATTAATTTATCGGCCATTATAACTGCCGATATAGATAATTTGGAAAATGCCTAATATCGGTCTGCCGATATATCGGTCTGGCTCTACTAAAAAGTCATATAGCTATTTTTTTTTTCTGAAACTATTCAGCTTGTAAGCTATTCAACTTTTCAGCAATTATATATATAATTATTATTATTTATTTTTATTCTGTGTCTCAGCAAATGTCTGGTTTAGTCACAGACTACATGGAGGCATATGGGACCAAGTTTTCCTGGAGGTGTTCTCCAAAAAGTGTGGAAAAGCTCCCGTCTGGCCTTCTCCAGGTCACATGGATGGATCTAAAAACCAAAGAGGAACATAAAGACACCTTCAACTCGGTACTTTGGGCTGTAGGTACGTCATAAATACATAGGCAACATAATTGAATTTATTAGGCACTTTTCATGAGAGGACTTCCACAAAATGACATTTTTGTTTTCATTTTTTCTGAATTTCTTTGCAATTTTTTAAATTATTATTATGAATTATAAAACTGTGGCTATAGGTTGCAAATGCACAAACTCACTCCATAGTGTCATGAAGTTCTCACATAATAAAAGAATTGATCTAAATTTAAGTAAATACTTTGATTTATTTAGCGATTAATAAATGTCTGACTGTGCGTTATCTCTTATTTGTATCAGAACTGCTCTAACATTTAATGCTTCCAGAAAATGTGTTGTACAGTTGACTCATCCGCTGTAATCGGTGATGCTTTCATCACATTTCAAAAGCATAAATCCTCATAATACATATATCAGTTTGCGCTTATATTGTCTTACACCACTGTGCTGCTATATCAGCAAAAATGGGACTGTCAGGCCTGAAAACAGGGTAATAAAGAGAGAGGGATGGAATCATCGAGGGAAGTGTTAATCACTGGACTGAGGTCTGCTCTTCAGGACCAGGATGCACCAGGGGCCCCCGGGGTCGCCCCATTCCCTGCTTTGTTCTCTTGCTCTGGGTTTTCCTGCCAGGGTTGCATGTCTCTCTGTACGGAAACCCACCCAGAGCTTCCAGAGTTTTCCCCTTTACTCATCCCTCAGCATCTCTGACTGCAGATGCCATCCTCTTCTATGTGTTTGTATCTTTCACTCATCTGATTTCTCTCAATCCGGCCACAAGGACAATGAAAGGAATATCCGGTTTATTTATTGATGGTGTGAGAAGATAGTGTAGCAGTGTACAGTGAGGATGAGACTTCAGCTTCCTGTCTGGATGTGTGTGACATGGAGAGAGAGATTTAGTGATCTGTAGTGACTCCTCTGCAGTGTTTGGCAGCTTGGCTTTGGGTGTTGAGCGGCTTTCTCAGGCCTTTTCGTTCCGGAGATTTTGGTCCAGACTTGTTTGCTGTTGAGGGATTAAAGTTGTCCATTTTACAATCCTTTACGTGTGTATAGCCTTTTACCACAGATGTGTGTACAGTATTTAGTCAAAATACAAACTGAAATGCTTTAAAACCTATTAAAAAGCGTGGCAGATGGCCAATATAATATAAAGTTAAAAAAGACACATAAGACTTACACAAATTGCTCAAATTAGAACAATTATTTTACTTCATTCTTATTATTATTTGACCATTGTAATTATTTTAAATGTAAACTATACATTGTAATTAAATACACTTGTTTTACTTCAATATAATAAAACATTTCTTTTTGCATTTTATGTTGTAATTACAATTTAATAAAATGTGTAGTAATTAGTTTAGAAATTTTAGAATTAGGATAGAAATTAACAATGTACACTATCCATTTAAAGGAAATGGGCACTTATTTTACTAAATTATTTTACTATTTTATATAGTATTTACAATTTAGTGAAATTTAATTTTTTGAAAAGTGGACATTTATTTTACTCGATCTTTATTATTATTTTACTATTTATGCAGTTCTTGGACATTATTGAGACCATATAATTGAAATTAAATGTAATTTAACGACAAAAAACGTAATGATTTATATAATTAAAAAATAATATATATATAAAAAATTAGTTTCAAAGTTAAAATATCAATCTATCACCAGTAAAATCACACATGCTTTCTTATGGTTTAAAACTCTTTCTATGAAAAATGGGACTACAATGTTCAATAAATAATACATTTATTAATTGTGAGAATCATAACAAACAGCTCCACCATCAAGTACTATCATGCATTAGCATATAGGGGGTTTATGGTTGCCAACCTGTAGCATTAATACTCAGTTTTATAGTCAAGTAGTGTTAATATTGACTGTTGTCATAGTGAAAAGAGCTTTCAGAGGCTGATATCCTCTATTACACCCTCGAGAGGATGCTGTGTTTCCATGCTGTGGCCTCTCTGTTTCTCCATCCTGCTCTCTTTCTCGCAGTGGCTTTTTTTTAATCTCCCTCATGGCGACTTGTAGAGCAGCCCCATCCCTCCTCCTGTCTTTCACCCCCAGCGGAGCTCTTCCACCCTTCCGCTCCTCCATCCTTCCTCTGGGCTGCGCCCCTCTGCAGGTGGCTGTGCTAAACGCCAGGAAAGAGAACGTTTCCTCCATATTGTAGGTGTACCCCTTTTATGAGGGCTGAAGAAGGGAAGTAATATATATTGTGTAAATATGCTTTCCTATTGGTTCACAATTGTGTGCGTATAATGCATTTTGATTGATTCTCATTTTCTTTTTATACGCTATTAAAAATGACCATGTCCATGATAACTATAATTTTCATAAAAATTTTATTTTAAGTTAGTGCAGTTATTGTTACCGTAATAAACAATATTAACTTGCTGTTTACCATAATTATAAAAATGTAAATTTAAAGATGATGTGTTTATTCTTTGAATGTAGTTCCAGAGTTTTCCCCTTTACTCATCAAATGTAAAAGAAAAAACAAAAAAACATTGCATTATGTCTACAAAATTATTCAGTCAAGAAGAATGTGTTACTTTACGAGTTACTTGAAAAAAGTAATCTGATTACATCACTTTTATTAATTATTACATAATGCGTTACCCATAACACTGGATACGGACACCAGCAGGTTTATTTGGCTGCTGTCACTTTAAAAGAGTAGTTCACTTTAAAAAAAAAAACTTTTGCTGATAATTTACTCACCCCCATGTCATCCAAGATGTCTTTCCATGTCTTTCTTTCTTCAGGCGAAAAGAAATTAGGGTTTTTGATGAAAACATTCCAAGATTTTTCTCCGTATAATGGACTTAAATGGGAACCAAACGGTTCAAGGTCCAAAAGACAGTTTCAGTGCAAACTGCAAACTGTTCAAAGGGCTTTAAACGATTCCAGATGATGAATAAGGGCCTTATCAAGCGAAACGATCACTCATTTAAAAAAAAAAAATAACAGTTTAAGTTTTATAAGCTCAAATGGTCGCCTTGCTCTGTTCTGTGATGCGCGTTCGTGACTCTCCTGTTCGAACTCGTTCATCAAAATGAACGAATCTTTTCCCGAGTCAATTCGTTCATTTCGTTCGTTGAATGAACCTCTAGAATTCATTTTAGAATTAGGATAGAAATTAACAATGTGCACTATCCATTTAAAGCAAATGGGCACTTATTTTACTCAATTTTTATTATTATTATTATTTTACTTATTTTACTAGTATTTACAATTTAGTGAAATTTGACTTTTTATTTTGGCCAATATTTTTTCAAAAATACTCTTTCTACCAGTTAACATTTCGTAGTTCCCCATTATGTCTTTTCCACAATCTTGTCAATGGACTGTTAATTTCTGTTTTGAAATATTTTTGAGTGAATTTGGACTAAATATAATGTGTGATGATTTCAACAGTTTTGTGTGTGTACATTATATTACCTATAGTGGCATTATGGAGAGATGGGGACAGTGTTCAGGAAATATTTTCAAATATGTTTGAAATTACACACTTCACCTTAAAGAAAATGTGCCTTTTTTTTTTTTTACAGTAGTAAAATAACTTTGATATTTTGGAGGAAACGGATCATTTTTGTAAGATTAGTTCTCTATTATGTCTAGGCTAAGCCACTATTTTGAGTTATGATATTCATTAAGGCCATACGTTTTGCTTTATCACTCTGGTGTTTTGCATTACATTTGCCAGGAGCTGTTTATCTGCTACTGTGCAGTAAAATCTAATTAAAATCACCATGGAGAATTACAGATCTCACACTGACGCCATGTGTGACTGGAATGAAAGGCGACTCAATCCTCTCTTATTGTTTCATCCATTCTTCTCTCCGGCCTGTTTAGTCGATAAGGCTCATTTAAAGTCTTGCCAGGCAGATTGTTGTGTCTAATTAGCATGTTGGCCTTGATATGTCTTTCTTGTATAACTCCAGGCTTTGTTCTTGTTCATTATCAGAGGCAGCTGTTTGTGAGTGTGTGTGTGTGTGTGGGTTTGAATTCTCAGGCATAGCCCTTATCAGTGGTCCTCTGTTATTGTGTCCAGCCTTCACAATGCTCAGCGACGTTCCAGGAGCCCAAATCAGACAGAAAAAGAGACAGGAAGTGCAGAGCAGGAATGCCCCATTTCAGTTTGACGCAGATACTGGTACTTTTCCCGCTCTACAGTAATCATCGTTTCGGGTCGTTTTTTTTTTTTTTTTTTTTTTTTTTTTTTTTAACCGAGCCAATAAAATGCACATTCTCGCTATTATCAGCTCTTTGCCCACACAAAGTCAAGGACGTTCTTTTTCCACGGGCCGTGATGGATATCTCAAGGGGTTTTTTGCTGATGGAATGTGGTGTAAAACAAAGGATGTCTTTCATTTAGACTGAACTTGTGTTTCTTGGACTTCTGAGCCTTTGTTGTGGCGTTATCCTCGAAACTCGGCCATAGAAATAAGTGTCTTTTTTTTTTTCAGTACAGTTCTGCTACTGATGGCAATCTGTGTGGTGTGGGTCGAACTTGGCATTACATTGAGTATTTATATTTTCAGTATTTATTATGATTTTTAACAAAATCATTATTTGTGTAATTTTTACAGCACTTTTTAAGTGCCCTAAAAACTGCCAGTGGTTTTATCTGCTAATAATAATCTTTTAATGAAATAAAAGATTATGGAATTAAATATTCTTTAATTCAAAGACGTATATGTACCCAACAAATGAATAACGCCTCTGAAATAATTTTTTTCTCCTAGTGTAATTTTCCTACAGTACAGTTTCATTCTGAATTTAGATTATGAACAATCATGTTATGGATTTTATACACTGTTTTTACTCAATAAAGTGAAGTTTCAGCTATATACATTATTAAATGCATGTGTAAAGGTTAATTGTGTTTTAAGAAATATTATTGTTTTAGTGAACTCAAATAAAATAAGTTCAGAGTACTCATAACTACTGTTTTTTATAAACTTAAATGAATTGAGGTTTCCTCAAATGAAATGAGTTAGCTTAACTTGTTGGTTTTGTAGTAGAAATGTAATTCTAAATTAGTTTGGGAGTGGGACACCTGTTAAGAAACAGTTTTTTCACTTCCGTTTGCTGCTATTATTGGCACACACAGAAACTGTGTATCAGCATTAAATGTTTGCTATTTGGTGTTTTAAATTTACTTAATGTATAAAACAAATTAGTCGTAAGTAACTTCAATTTGAAGAAAAATGGGTTTTATTTTCGTTTCACCAACTCCCTCTCTTTCTTTGGGTAATCGATGTGTACATGCATACTCGTATCTGTGTCTCGGGTCTCACTGTAGTCGAGCAGAAGGAAGTTGTTTCTGTGCTTGAGGCAGGAAAAGGGGCTTACGGTTTGTTTTTCTTGCTGTCTGATAGCATCTACATGGGTACCTCTGGCTTCTGCTGCAAACATTGTTTATTGTGATACCTGTGAAGGCATTGGGACTCGAGTCTTGTGTGTGTGCGTGTCTGAGACGCCGTGAATGGGGGAAGGGGGCCAGAGATGGACAAGTGTCGACAGCCTCTCTCAGCCCTCGGATAGGAAGTGACAGAAGTGACACCGCAAGCCCCAGGTGGCTGATGGGATATGCATCCAGGTCTCTTCATTACGCCCTCCCGTCAGACCACCACCTCAGCTGTGCTTGTGTTTTCTTTTCTAATCACTGGATAAGATTTTGCCCTCTAATCTCAGAGTGTAAAGACACCCTTAAATTCTCCCAGCAGGCCGAGCGATAAACTCCAACCTAAAGCATCCAAAAGCTGTCCGATAACTGTCAGCGCTAACTGTCATTGCTTTCTTCTCTTTGAGTTTAGGCAGAGCCCCTGAAACCAAGACCCTCAATTTGGAGCAGGTTGGCGTGGAGATCAACAAAGAAACTGGGAAGATAATTGTGGCCGCTGATGAAGCCACATCTGTGCCAAATATTTTTGCTATCGGAGACATCGGTGAGGTAGGCGCTATGAATGAATGTCATCAATAGTGCACTAATAGGACGATATGACCGAAATCCTATTTCATGATATGAGTTTTTCAGTTACTTTAGGTTTATTTAACATGTAGTAAGAAATATTGCAGAAACTGAATAATCAAATATAAAAGAAAAAACAAAAAAAAAAACATTGCATTATGTCTACAAAACTATTCAGTCAAGAAGAGTGTGTTACTTTATGAGTTACTTGAAAAAAGTAATCTGATTACATCACTTTTATTAATGATTACATAATGCGTTACCCATAACACTGTCACTTTAAAAGAGTAGTTCACTTTAAAAAAAACTTTTGCTGATAATTTACTCACCCCCATGTCATCCAAGATGTCCATGTGTTTCTTTCTTCAGTCGAAAATAAATTAAGGTTTTTGATGAAAACATTCCAGGATTTTTCTCCATATAATGGACTTCAATGGGAACCAAACGGTTCAAGGTCCAAAAGACAGTTTCAGTGCAAACTGCAAACTGTTCAAAGGGCTTTAAACGATTCCAGATGATGAATAAGGGCCTTATCAAGCGAAACGATCGCTCATTTAAAAAAAAAAAAAAAAAAAGTTTAAGTTTTATAAGCTCAAATGGTGGCCTTGCTCTATTCTGTGATGCGTGACTCTCCTGTTCGAACTCGTTCATCAAAATGAACGAATCTTTTCCTGAGTCAATTCGTTCATTTCGTTCTTCGAATGAACCAAATGACACGAAAAAAGATTCGTTCATTTTGATAAACGAGTTTAAGAGTTAATGCATGGATCGACATAATTACGTCTCTTTGACTATTTAAGCGCAAAGAGAACTGAATTCGGGATTGCATGCTATCTGAGAGAGGTGACTTTTTGTGTGCGTGCTTGGAGTGTGTGTCAATCAGAGCAAGAATCACATTGAGTTCGTTTTTCTCTTGAATTGTGCTTAATAACTCTTATCAACATCAAGCACATTAGCTCTTTATTTTCGTATTCATGCACGTTTCTTTGTAACTTTAAAGTCAGCATAAAAAAGAAGTTGCGATAGGCTATTTTGAGGTATAATCGAGAGAACAGCTTCCCAAACAAAAAAACAAAAATATGTATAGGGCATGACTTGAATTTGTCCATTGGGAAGTGATCGTATCATTGCAGTTTGCTATTGCTGTGATCTCATGTGAGTGACAGTTCGTGTCAGTAAAAAACACATCATCAGAGAAGAGATTGGAGGTTGTTTTGATTAAAGATTACGAGGGGGTATGCATTTTGTTTTTAATAACACAGTGCACAGATAAATCGTTTACAATAAATACTACAATATTCCTTTTAAAAAAAATGATTTCATTGTGACTTAGATATTTTCATATAGTACGATATAAACACATTGCATCACACCACCCAGCCGGGCGAGAAGGAACAGCTGGAAATCAACACATCTACAGCATATTCCTGTCTGTCAGTTCAATCGCTCTCCTGGAAGGTCGCTGCCCTGTAACATCTCCAACACAACTGGCTACCGGGATCAAATATCACAGCTGCAGCAGCTGCGTGATTATTGGCGGGCACACACTGCTACACAACTAGTCAGAAGAAGCTCTTTGTACGTCAATGTGCATGACTTATCATTTTTTAAGGAAAGAAAATTAGATGTTGAGCTGCACCTGGTTACTGCCAAGAAGTGCATTTACTATACAGCTGCCTGGGTGGTGTACACACACACACACACTCTGAGCCAAACACCCAAGGCGGTTTCTTGGACAGCAGGATGTACAGAAGTTATCAGACTGGTTGCTGATGGCATTAGTCAGTGAATGAGAATTCGCCCCGCAGTGCTGCTTGTTCCTGTGTTGTTACTGTAGGCATGTTTTTCACAGCGCTGATTGGCAGCCGTCCACCTCTGCACTGTAATAATCATCTTGACTGACAGTCATGTAATGTTGAAATGATACTCATCTCTGAAATGTCTGATCAGGCTAATCGTACATGGATTTATACTTAACGACACATCATTAAAACATAATGCAAAGAAAATGAGCATTTTTAGTTGTATTGTTGTGCATTGGGAATTGACCTGCCCAATTCTTGTAGACTAGATTTGCTGTCGAATGCATCCATGCTTGGGTTAGTGTTTATTTTAGTATTATTTATGCAGTGTACTATTGTAATGTCAATTAATATTAGCCTAATTTATTTCAGTTAGTTGCTAAGACATTTAAAATTTTTGTATTATTTTTATTTAATAACAACAGTGAATGTGCATGTAAATGTTCTCTGAGACAGCCTACTCACTCTCTGTTTCAGGGTCGTCCCGAGTTGACCCCAACAGCCATTAAGGCCGGAAAGCTCCTGGCCCGTAGACTGGTGGGCCATTCCGATGAGGTCATGAATTATGAGAATGTGAGTTTTTCCTTACACCCATGTGTTCTCATTCTCTCTTTATTTCTGGATTAATCTCAAAGCCTGTCAAAAACATCTGAGGAAAAAAAAATATATATATATATATATATATATACAGTGTGTGTATGTGTGTATATATATATATATATATATATATATATTATTTATTTTATTATTATTATTATTTTCAGATGTTTTTGACAGGCTTTGAGATTAATCCAGAAATAAAGATATTAGAAATCTTTATTAAATAGTAATAAAAAAAATCTTTATTAAATATAAATCTTTTATATATATATAATATATATATATACAGTGCCCTCCACAATTATTGGCACCCCTGTTTAAGATGTGGTTGAGGACTTTTAAAAATTCTCCCTTTTTTTTAAGCAACATAGAACCCAAATGCAAAAAAAGAGAAAAATCCAACCTTTTATTTAAGTACATTACTTTGGTGGTAAAAAAAAAAATGTAAAAATTTATAAAAATAAAAACTTCAAATCCTGTGTCCCACAATTATTGGCACCCCTAACAATTCCGCTGAAAAATGTAATTGATTTTTTAAAAAAAATATAATTTCTGTAGTTGCTAATGTTGGTCAGGATATCTAGGAACTTTTAATTAGTAATTCATGACTTCCTATTTCCCTGGGGTATAAATATGACATGACACAGAGGCCTAATTCTCTTACCCATTTGTCAACATGGCAAAGACAAGAGAACACACCATTCAAGTAAGGCAGATGTGTGTTGACCTTTATAAGTTAGGCAATGGCTACAAGAAAATAGCCACTCACCTTATATTGCCCATATCTAAAGTTAGAGGAATCATTAAGAAGTTTAAAACAACAGGAACAGTGACAAACAAGGCTGAAAGAGGTCCCAAGTTTATCTTGCCACAACGCACAGTGAGGAGGATGCTAAGAAAAGTAAAAAAAAGTCCTAAGCTCACTGTCACAGAATTGCATCAAATAGTGGCATCTTGGGGTCACAAAATCTCCAAAACAACCATCAGACGCTCTCTACATGCCAACAAGATGTTTGGGAGGCATGCTAGGAAAAAGCCTTTTCTCACTAACACTGACAAACGTAAACGTCTGGAGTTTGCCAAGCGGCACTGGGACTTCATCTGGGATCGTGTGCTTTGGTCGGATGAGACTAAGATTGAGCTTTTTGGCAACAAACACTCTAAGTGGATCTGGTGTAAAACAAAAGATGTGTATGCCGAAAAGTACCTCATGCCCACCGTGAAGTATGGTGGAGGATCTGTGATGCTGTGGGCCTGTTTCTCTTCCAAAGGCCCTGGGAACCTTGTTAGGGTGCATGGCATTATAAACGCTTTGAACTACCAGGACATTTTAAATAAAAACCTGATGGCCTCTGCCAGAAAGCTGAAGATGGGTCGTCATTGGGTATTTCAGCAGGATAATGATCCAAAACATGTGGCACAATCTACACAAAAATGGTTCAGTCACAAACTCAAGGTCCTCCCATGGCCATCTCAGTCCCCAGACCTCAATCCAATCGAAAACCTGTGGGGTGAGCTAAAGAGGAGAGTGCACAAGAGAGGGCCCAGGATACTGGATGATCTAGAAAGATTTTGCAAAGAAGAATGGTCAAAGATCCCTCTCTCTGTGTTCTTCAATCTTGTGAAATGTTATAGGAGGAGATTAAGTGCTGTCTTGTTGGCAAAAGGGGGTTGTACAAAGTATTAACATCAGGGGTGCCAATAATTGTGGGACACATGATTTGAAGTTTTTATTTTTTTAAATTTTAAATTTTTTTTTACCACCAAAGTAATGTACTTAAATAAAAGGTTGGATTTTTCTCTTTTTTTGCATTTGGATTCTATGTTGTTTAAAAAAAAGGGAGAATTTTTAAAAGTCCTCGACCACATCTTAAACAGGGGTGCCAATAATTGTGGAGGGCACTGTATATATATATATCATTTTTTTATGTTTTTGACAGGCTTTGTGAGATTAATCCACACACATTCTAAAATGTGTGATTACATTACAGTAATTTTTATAAGAATGTAATCATTAAAAAAAATTTAATCTCGCATATAAACTCAATATTGAAATGACTGGACAGTAAGGAGAATTACTTTTTAGAATATTGTCACAAAAATGTCCTGGTGCAACAAAAAACCTTGATGCAACCTTCTAGTCCTGCTTTTGGTATTTTTTTATTATGGATGTTCTCCAGTTAATTTATTTGTGTGTGTATAGGTGGCCACTACAGTGTTCACTCCACTAGAGTACGGCTGTGTAGGTCTGTCTGAAGAAGAGGCTGAAAAGAGACACGGCAAAGACCAGATTGAGGTAAAATACAGCAATTTTTCCATGGGTGCTATTAGATACAATGTGAAGTGCAGTTATAAAATGGCAGCCACTGCAATACATGTTCAATACATGCAATTAATATTGCAGGATAGGGTGAACAATTCTTCCACCAAGTAATATAGTTCATTATCCTAACTGTTGGCTCTACTATCATCCTAACTGTGGCTCTGGCTCTATTACTGTATACGTGTGTGTATGTGAATACTGGGTCCTCGCACACCTGCATGGCTCTAAACCCTAAAGCATTCAGAGAGGGCTGTGCCTCTGGTTTGATTGACAGCTGTTCAGGAGGGCTGACTGATGCTTGTTGAGGTTGATGAGAGATGATCAAAAATGCAGTATCCCATTGGCCCTGACAGCTGTGAGCAGCATGTGTCAGCACGCCAGAGCGCTCGCTCTGAAGCTTGTTCAATAATGATGATTTCAACACCTAAAAAATGTTTAGTAACAGACACAAACATAACAGCAGCAGCACTTGTTTCCAATGATGAGCTCAAGTGATTGATGATTCAGGATGATGTCGTTGTTGGTGTATCATAGTTTTTGTTTTGTCTGGTTTAACAGGTGTACCATGCCTTCTACAAACCGCTCGAGTTCACTGTGGCTGAGAGAGATGCCACTCAATGCTATATAAAGGTATTTTAAAATAGTTACACACGCACACATACATATATACATATATTACACACACAAACTAAGACAATTTTCTATAGAAAATTACACTTCTCTAAAATAGAATTTAATCGATCTAAATCTAGTCAAAAGTAAAATTGTAATACATATTTTTTTTTAACTATTTCAGAAAGTAAATGTCAAATGTTTCATAAATAGTTTAATTTCTCAAAAGAACTAGAGACTAATGTGTTGATTAGTGTAAAATGTATTTTGGGCCTTTTAACAAATATATAATATATTTATGATATAATATACTGTGTGTGTGTGTGTGTATATATATATATATATATATATATATATATATATATTAGGGCTGTGCAAAAATTAATTGCAATTAATCGCATCCAAAATAAAAGTCTGTGTTTACATAATATATTTGTGTGTGCTGTATATAATTATTTTGTATGTATAAATACACACACATCCATATATATATTTAAGAAAATGTGTTATTCATATATAAAATATTTATATTTATATAATATAAATTTTGTATTTATATATATATATACAGAATTTAAGCGCAAATAATTCTTAAATATATACATGCATGCATAGGTATTTATTTATACAAAATAATTATATACAGCACACACAAATATATTATGTAAACACAGACTTTTATTTTGGATGCGATTAATCGCAATTAATTTTTGCACAGCCCTAGTATATATGTATGTATTTATGTGTATGTATATATATATATATATATATATATATATACTACACAAGCAACTGCAAAACATATTGATTATTCATTACAGCCGTTTTTAGGTATTATAGATAGGATTTCATAAAGATTATGTATCGGTTTCTTAGTAGACTGGAGTAATGGCTGCTGAAAAAAGGGTTTTAAAATAGAAATTGAGTTTTAATACTATAAGTTTAAGGTGAAGAGTAAAAGGCTACATTTCTTTGGAAGTTCATGTAATAATATAATGATGGTCATCATATCTCAATTATTAACTAATAATAACTAAACCCATGTTCTCTTTCCTGCAGGTGATTTGTCTACGGGAGGGTGAGCAGCGTGTGCTGGGTCTGCATTTTACTGGGCCGAACGCTGGTGAAGTCACACAGGGCTTTTCTTTGGGCTTCCAGTAAGTAACCTGCACGTGATGTTGAGCTGGAGTCAGATTACATTCATTTGATTTGATCTGCTCTGATATCACCCAGGTGTCTGTTTCATTACACATACATTTGCGTGTAAATTCAAATCAGAGTGAGTTACAACACCTGTGGGCGAATGAATACAACGTCTGTGTGTTTATATCTGCAGGTGTGGGCTTACCTATGGACACCTCAGGAACACGGTCGGGATACACCCCACCTGCGCCGAGGAGTTCACCAAACTCAACATCACTAAACGCTCCGGTCTTGACGCCACGGTAACGGGCTGCTGAGGTTAAGCGTCCCTTCCCTGATCACTCGAGCACACGGGAACCAGTAAACAGGGTTATGATCATGTGAGTTATGGAGTTACAGGAAGCATCTCATGAAAATTCAGGGCTTTCAGTCTTCGCTCTTCCGTTTTTATCTCGTCTCTGTGCACATCAGGGCCTTATCGAATGACCACAGAATGCAAATGTATTTCAGTTTAATATATGATAGTACGTGCTCTATGAGTCCAAATCCAGGAGAGTTCGGCCAGCTTTTTACCACAGGTCAAGATAATCCAATAAGGTCCTCACGTTTGCTCTACAGAATACGAACGCGGATCCAGGTTAGAGCAACACGGACCGCAAGCGACGTTGCGAACAGATAAACACGGCCATAAATCAGGATTAAACCCCCATTACAGTTTGCTGAAATGAGAACCGTTGGAGAAAGTGGCCTAATGTTTCTGAAATATATTCTCCAAATATTGTTGTTTCTCTGGTTGTACTTCCTGTCCATTAGTCATGCGCCACTCCTGACACTGATGGATGGGATAGGCCCGTCGCTGCGCTGACACCACCCCTTTTCCCAGGGACGTAGACAAACACTCGGTGAGCGGCGTGTCACTCAAACGCAGAACCCGGTCGTGGACAGAGTGAGCGCTTGTTTAGTCCTGGACTTCAGGAGTTTCCCCAGTGCACAGCGGGAGCAGAGAGTACGTGTTACAATAACATACTCTCCTGCCCCTGATGTCTCTGCTCAAAGCCTAAAAGAAGTCAGTACCACCGGCTACCGAAAGGTGGCAGTGTTTGCTTCCTTTTCCCCCTGTTCTTCACTCACACAAATCTCAGAGCTGAGTAGTCATTATGAATCAAGTCACAGTTAATCACAGGCAGAATGTTAAGATTAATTGAACACTTGCCGGGCAGTTATCGCTCCATAGGTTTAGCTTATCTGTTGTTTGTGTACTTGGCTAATAGCTTTGGCTCATGGTGCTGCCGCCCGCTCTGAGGGAAGTTAAACTGCAACTATTCCCTGAAGTTCAATTCATTTTGTGACTGGAAATCTGTGTACTTTCAAACCAGATATAGTATGAAAAGCACATGTGCATTTTGAAACGTACTGATATATAATGTCAGCTGATGCAAATCTAATTGTAATGCAAGATTTTACGTTTTTGTCGGTCAGAACACTGATGAAGGAAATTAGATTTGTAGTGGTTGTTTTTTGTCCATTAAATTACTTTAAAAAGGATTTAATAGCTTCATAAAAGTGACCATAACGACTGTATTACATGTGTTTTGTAGTCATATGATAGATTTCGTTATATGTTCCACAAATCTAAGTTGTTATTGACTTCAAATCTCCCACCTTAGTTTTGTTCGCTGCATTCATGAGATAAGTAGCGGTGCTGGATTTATGAACAAATCTTTTTTTTTTTTTTTTTTTTTTTTTCAATAATTCGATTGATCCAGATCACAAAACCGGCCTGAATAATTAATTCACGTTCAAGTTCAAACTCGACCTAAAAGTGTAACAATTTCCTCTGTTCCTCACACAAAGCTATCATATATAGCTCATGAGACCTATTAACAACTTTTATGTTCTATATTTACAGCTTCATTGTAGCATGGAAATGAGCCACCAGAATAATTGTTCCATGAAAGCCTTTATTTCTTTGTGTAACACTAAAAGAAGAAATACAGGTTTGGAAAAGCGTGAGGGGGAGTAAATAATGGCACAATGTATATTTTTGGACAAAATATCACTTCAGTTGTTTAGTAAAATGGGTAATAAAGTTAATCTGGGCATTTGCATTTGTAATGCAGTTAAAAACAGATATGCAAAACGTATAAAACACCTGGACGAGTCATAGTCGCTCAATTTGTTCTAGAAGTTCTGTAGTTATACATGCTGTATGCAAAATGAATATGAAATCTGCGTAAGAAACGCTAGTCAAGATTTCAATGCCTCATACCCCATCTTTAAAGGAGTAGTTCACTTTTAAAAAAACTTTTGCTGATAATTTACTCACCCCCATGTCATCCAAGATGTCCATGTCATTCTTTCTTCAGTCGAAAGAAATTAAGGTTTTTGATGAAAACATTCCAGGATTTTTCTCCATATAATGGACTTCAATGGGAACCAAACGGTTCAAGGCCCAAAGACAGTTTCAGTGCAAACTGTTCAAAGGGCTTTAAACGATTCCAGACGATGAATAAGGGTCTTCATCAAAATGAACGAATCTTTTCCCGAGTCAACTCGTTCATTTCAATGTTGAATGAACCAAATGACACGAAAAAGATTCGTCAATTTTGATGAACGAGTTCGAACAGTAGAGTCACGAATGCGCATCACAGAACAGAGCAAGGTGACCATTTGAGCTCTTTTTTTTTTAATGAGCGATCGTTTCGCTTGATAAGATCCTTATTTATCGTCTGGAATTGTTTAAAGCCCTTTCAACAGTTTGCAGTTTGCACTGAAACTGTCTTTTGGACCTTGAACCGTTTGGTTCCCATTGAAGTCCATTATATGGAGAAAAATCCTGGAATGTTTTCATCAAAAACCTTAATTTCTTTTCGACTGAAGAAAGAAAGACAAAGTGATAAAATTATCAGCAAAAGTTTTTTTGTTTTTAAAACTGAACTACTCCTTTAAAGGGACAGTTCACCTAAAATTGAAAATTGTCATCATTTACTCATGCTGTTCCAAACTTTCTTCGACGGAACACAAAAGAAGGTTGCCAAACAGTTTTGGTTTGGAGACTTCTCTTTTAAAATGTCTTTGTTTTAGTTTTATGTTCTACTGAAGTCATTCATACAAGTTTAGAACTTGGAGTAAATGAAGACAGAAACACTTCGCATTGTGTAAAATATCAATTGGTTTCATGAGAATGCCATAGACTTGGGAGTGAAGAACGGTATATCTGGAGTTTGTTTTTGTTTGAAGTCTAATCTGCCCTGGCTCTGATTAATGAGCCTGAGAGAGGAGTGACAGCCTGCTGTGGAGAGGAGCACTGCGCTACCAGGTTTATTTGTACCCAGGACTGATGGGAAGAGGGGGGTACCGTGTGCTCGAGTCAGGGACGGGGTGCTGACTGAAGAACCCTGACCCCAACACACTACCACCAACAGCTTGGCTCTATCAACCCACACACACACACACACACAACACACTCACAGCCGGAGCTGCGCCACAACACAGAAATATGCGGGCGCTTATTTGTCCAAAGTGTTCAGATATACTAGCGTATGCCATGTTACTGTTCAAACTTTGACATTTTCTCGCTCAAATCTAAATGTCATATATAAAATTGAAATTAAAACAGTTGTCGGCATTGATTGTCTCAATAAAATGTGCTTTAGACACATTACCCGCAGGCCAGCTTGAGACGGCAGCTCCGATCCCCCCCCACACACACACACACATACTGTGAAGGGTCAGGGTTCAACTTTCAAGGGCCCAGCTAATGATGACTTGCACTAAAAGCCAAAACTGGAGAGGGCGAGTCTGATGTCACCTGGCGTCACATTTATTTCTGTAAATAGAGAAGCCTGATTTGGCTTAAGCTATGCGCTGGATCATTTATATGTGTGTAGTAAAATATACAAGTGTACAGTTGCACCATTAAAATAATGATAGATTCTGTTCTGTCCTCTGTTTCTTTTTCAGATGGTGTGTATTTTTGTGTGAGCAGCCTCACTGACTATTTCCTATATATAAGCAGCATACTTTCTCTTTTTTTAATTGTTGATTGTGTGTTTTTCAGCCATTGTGTCGTGTCTTCATTTTTTTTGTAGCGTCTTACAGAGTGTTGCGCTTTCGGTTTGTGTGTATTCCGTCTGTTCTTCGTGTTTTACATCTTGTACAACTTCTATGAAGCTATTCACACACAGAATGTTTTTGCATGTAAAATGTGAGACAGATAAGTGGACGGTCTTTTTTTTTTTTTTTTAGTTTAAAGGGATAGTTCACTTTGAAATTAATTTTTGATATGTTTTAGCTTACCTCAAGGGCATCCAAGATGTAGGTGTCTTTGTTTCCACAATATTTTCAATTTTTATATTTTTAGGTCAAACCGTTCTTGTATGTCAGTCATATAATGGAGGTATATGGGGTCCACCTCAAAGAGCATGCACAGGGAAGTCCAAATTAAACATGATTTAATGACTCGTAAATGTAAGTACACATTGATGGCCTAAGACACGAAACGAGCGGTTTGTGTCAGAAAACTAACAGTATTTATATTGTTTTTACCTCTTGCAAACCCAGGGTAGACCCCATAAACTTCCATTATATGACTGACAGACAAGAACGGTTTGACCTAAAAATAACAAAATTTAAAATACCGTGGAAACAAAGACACCTACATCTTGGATGCCCTTGAGGTAAGCTAAAACATATAAAAAATAGTTTCAAAGTGAACTATCTCTTTAACTTCTTTTAACTTGAGCGCTGCGTTGCAAGACATACAAAACGTTTTTGAATGTTTACATTGAAAAACAATGGAAAATTAGCCCAAAAGGATTCTAAGTAGGCAGCAACTTCAAGTGTACACTAAATTCACGTGATCCACATGGAAGACGGAACTCGCAATTGATTTCAAGTTACAACACAAAAAGCATATAATAAACATAAAACTGCATAACAAAAATATTAGCTAAAATAGTCAATTTTTATATTATTGTATTTTTTATTTCACCAATAATTTTCGGTATTTAAAGCAATGTTTTATTTTTCGTTAGTGTTTCGCTCTTCTTGACTCTCAACTCCATATATGGAACTTGTTGCAATGCATTCTGGGATTGCAACAAGAATAGCATTTGGTCGAAATTAGATATCTGAAAAAGCTTAATATTGCTTTCTACCTTTGTGACTGTAGTGCAGTCACAAAGTGTGTTCTTGTTCATGTGTTCTTAAAATGCGATTAAGGTTAGGCCGCTCACTAGGATTTGAGACAGAGCTAATACGGTTCAAAAGTTTGGTGTCAGTATGAGTTATATTTTTTAAAAAGAAATATTTTTTTTCAGCTAGGATGCATTAAATTGATCAAGAGTGACGGTAAAAGATGTATAATGTTACAAAAGATTTCAGTTTCACATAAATTGCTGTTTTTACTTTCTATTCGTCAAAGAATCCTAAAATATGTGACAGTTTCTACTAAGATATTAGGCAGTAGTGTTTTCAACTGGTTTCCTGAGCAACAAATCAGCATATTAGAATGATTTCTGAAGGATCATGTGACACTGAAGACTGGAGTAATTCAGCTTTTACTTCACAGGAATAAATGACATTTATAAAATAATAGTATTTCTCAATATTACAGTGTTTTAACTGTATTTTTAATCAAATAAATGCAGCCTTGGTGAGCATAAGAGCCTTCTTTCAAATGTAAAAACCTTGCAGACCCTAAATATTTAACTGTGTGTGTGTGTGTGTGTGTGTAAGGTCAGCTCCCGAGGAGTTCTCTCTCAGCAGGGGTGGTCACGGTATGACCTCTCGCTGTCTTCGCTGACAGGCTCCTCGGCAATGCCGACCTGTCAGTCAAAGCTGCACAACAACAATGGCAGAAATTCCTCTCTGTTTGTTTGCGTAAGGACGGGGCTCTCACAAACCCTGAAACTCTTAACGTTGTCACCCCTAAAACGTTCCTAACTCCGAGCTCTCTCCACAGCCATTAAGGGAAAAGCCAACCCCGTCGTCCACTGAGAGAAATGTGACACGCTTTCAGCATTTCTTTCTCTTTCCAAATGGAACAAATGTACGTAAATCCACCTTGAAACACACTTAGCAGAACATGTCAACATGTCAAGGTGGGTTGGGTGGATATTTAGCGTCTTAATCCTCCGCTATTGTGGGTTGACAGTCGGAATCAGTGTGTTTGAGCTGGGAGTTGTGGATGCGAGTCAGGCGGCCCTCATCACCCTTCTGGGGGTTTACACTCATGCTGGTTGTACAGCCCTACGCTTGTGTCCAAAGCCCTGGGAGGAGAAACAAATATCTACCTTGTGTAAACATACGTTTGCAAAAGTTTGGCATAGAAAAGGGGGATTATTGGTAAAATGAAT